ACAATCCACAGAAAGACTACAGAGATAAAACTTCGATCAAGAGAAATCAATAAGTCATTTAAGCCATTCCTCAAGAAAAAAAGTGCCAAATATTCTCTACCTCCAGCTCCTTAAAGAGAAAGAATGTGCTGCTCTTCCCTGTATGATCGTGAGCTGAATACCATTTGTTTCTGAGTGTAGGTCGTACAAAACAAGATATTTCATCCTAATCTCCATTAAGTGTGATGAAGACTAATGAACATTAATCGAGAGAATAATGATCAGCATTGATGATGGTTTACTAAAGAAGATAAAACTGCATATTAGCTTATTAGGATGGTTCATAAATTGTTAAAATAAGTTATGAGAGGCTGCCTAGAAACAATACTTTGTGTCCTCAGAACAAACTCATAGAAGCTAATTCCAATCATAATTAGTTTACATGCTTCAAAAGACTAATTCACAGGAACAACTGACAGTCCTATTCTCACCTCCCGTACCAACAATAAAACACTGTGAAGCCAACTGTGCGATAGAAAGACAGAACATAATTTCCTAACCAATTTGTTAGCAGTGAATCAAATTTAAAAAAGTAATTGTCGTTTAACAGCATAAATCTCCCCCCCCCCGTCTACTGGTTTCCTAATACATTTCCTCAAGTTATGATTATATATTCATTCTGTGATTAGAGCAAATACTGAGGACGCTCGGATCCATTCAGGTCAGCTCAGGTATTAGGTACTAGGATTAGGGTTAGACATACTGATGCAAGTCTGAGTCAGATGCAAGATAGCAGTAAAACAAGACCCTGAATATAATTTGGTCCTGGTCCAATTAAAATCTCGGGCTGGGTTTTACAAACACTGAGAAAAGCTGTCCACAATATTAAGTGAGAATATACAAGTAGATTTTGGCCAGTTTGGAATTAGTAAGATTTATAATCTTGAAATGAAAGACTTGGATGAAAGGACACAAGAAGTCATAGTTCATTAAAATCTTGATCAAAGGGGTGCACATTTGGTTCATAATAATCTCTAAAAATCATAAGTTTCTTAAAAAGTTCAGGCTGAGTTCTTACTGCAGCGGTAATGGCTTCAAATCCACCGGTGGCCCTTTGTGTCATCCCCCCTCTCTCCCCCCTTTCCAGGAGAACAATTAAGAAATAAGGTGGTAACACGATACCTAACATGAAGATACTGAAAGAAAAGAGTTTGATATTTACACATTACATTACACACTATATTTAGCAGCAACCAAAAAGAATCTAAAGCGGCATGTATAAACAAGCTGATTGACACATTTATTTCATGCTTGCGTTTCTTACAATCAGCTCTAACTCATAAAGCAATATTCTAACCATGCTCCAAATGGCCTTTCAGGAGACACAATATTAAATTCAATTGCATTAAGATTTTATGGGTCATTTATGGGCAGCAAAGGAGGAAACCTTGTTTCCCTTTAAACTCATTACAAATGATATCAGGGCAAATCATCGAACAAGTGAGTGAACACAGGAAGCACAAAGTACCCTGCTGTCTCCCTATCTAATCAAGAACATGAAATGGATTTCGATGTGATATTGGACGGCGGTCAGCACACTCAGACAGCACCATGAAAATCAATCCATCATATAAGTGAACAAAACAAACTGGACAGGACACTGCTCCCTGGAAACATCCCCAGGATGATGTTACAGGAAAATCACGAGGATACATTTACCCCAAATTAATCACATGATTAATGAGGATGATAACTCCTTTGTAAATAGTTTATAGCATAGTTTCTCTTCTTAAAGAAAAAAAAATGCATATCTGGGGAATTCTAGCTAATCTATTCTTCATCTTGAGTTATTAACACCAAGTCATATTGAATTACACATGACTAATTACTTGAATAAATATGCACAGATGTTGAGGTTTGATTTCCTTCAAGCTGCTAAAGCAATACTGTTGCAAAAGTACTGTTGACAATAGTTTGGATATGGTGCTACTTTCCATAGTGGGCTGGCATTTCCCACACGTACCTTTAAATAAACATGAGCACTGTGGGTTATTTGGGGGCTTTTTATTGGCTTGATCTGATAGAAGCAGCTGAAGAGTGATCGGAAAGTGGGGGCAGAGAAACGGAAGACATTTAGCAATGTTTGGAACTGCGGTAAGGACTCCCTCCCTCCCTCCCTCCCTCCCT